GAGGTGACGTAGAGGGGCGGGGCGAGGTGGGTAGGGGCGGGCCCGAAGGGGCGTGTCCGGGGCGTGCCCGGGCGCGGGCGGGGCTTAACCTTCGGGGCTTAGGAGACTAAGAGTTGCCCGCAGTTTGATCCCTGGGCAGAGACAGCCAGGGAAAAGTTTTCGCATTGTTGTTATTGTTCAGCACTAGTGTCCTTGAGCCGACTCAAGTTTCCCATCCATTCCGATTCATGAAAAGTTAATTTTATTACCTTTAATTATTCATTATTAAGTGTTGGCAGTCCACACGAGATGTATTTAAAAAAAAAAAGAAGCCGAGGGACTGGCTGGTGGTGCAGTGGTTAAGGGTGCTGGACTCTCACAAGGTCAACTGCGATCCAAGTCCCGGACTTGGCAGCTGGCTTTCTCACTCTTCTCTCTCTCCCGCTCTGTTTCTCTCTGGTCAAATTAAAATAAATAAAGTTAAATTATAAAATTCTTTTAAAAAAAGAAAAGCTGAAAGGATTATGTTGCTGTGCTCTCAGTTTTACAATTCTCCTTTCCAGGAGCAATCATGGGTATTAATTTATTGTCTATCCTTCTAGAGATATCCCTAATACATAGGGACATTATATACATAATACAACATATAAAGAGGAAAAGGAAGATACCAAGTAGTACCCATGTCACAAGGATGAGCATTGTATTAAAGATAAACTGAGGGAACCAGCAGTTAGCGTAATGGCTATGTCGCTGGATTCCCACGTAGTCGACCGTGGTTCGCGTCCTGGACCCGGTGGCTTGGAACTCACGCCGGGCGCGTGTGCGTACGTGCCCAAGATCCCGAGAGGAGAATGGAGGAGAAGGGATTGCGGCGTGACCATCCCCCCTGGGGGGTGATTTCTCGCTTTCTGTCTCTATGTCTCTCTGTCTGGCGAGCGCACGCGCCCTATAGCGAAAACCTCTCCAAAAAAAACAAAAAAAAGATAAACTGAGAGAGGGCTAAGACCAGCAAGTACCTGAGAAGTATAGCTCTGGGTCTCTGTTTTTCCTCTAGGGTCTCTCACACTCTTTGGTCTCAGACCTTCTTACTTTTTTTTTTTTTTGGAGAGATTTTCGCTATAGGGCGCGGGCGCCAGCCAGACAGAGAGAGACAGAGAGACAGAAAGCGAGAAATCACCCCCCAGGGGGGATGGTCACGCCGCATTCCCTTCTCCTCCATTCTCCTCTCGGGATCTTGGGCACGCATGCACACGCACCCAGCATGAGTTTTAAGCCACTGGGTCGAGGACGCGAACCGCGGTCGACTACGTGGGAGTCCAGCGACATAGCCATTACACTAACTGCTGGTTCCCAGACCTTCTTACATTTTAAAAATTATTTTGGATCCCAAGAGGAAGAGCTTTTGTTTATGTAGGTTACAGCTACTGGAAACTACTGGTTAAAATTTAAACTAAGAATTATTTAAAAGTTCAATAATGACCCGCATGCACCCTATAGCAAAACCAAAACAAAAAATTTAAGAGTGGCAATATTTTTAGAGGTTTTTGCCTTAGGGTGCGTGCACTTGCGAGAGAGAGACAGAGACAGTGAGAGAGAAGATGAGAAATCATACACACACACACACACACACACCTGGGGTGATGGTCATGCCTCAATCCCTTCTCCATTCTCCTGGGATCTTGGGCATGCATTCACACACATGCACCCGACATGAGTTTCAAGCCATCGGTTCCAGAACTTGGACTGCGGTCAGCCATGTGGGCATCCAGTGGGTAGGTGGGTGGTGGAGGCGCCACCACCACCACACCATCTGCTAGCCCCAGTAGTGGCAATGTTTTGTTTTGTTTTGTTTTAAGAGAATTTTTTCCTATAGGGCACATGTGCTTGCTGGAGGGACAGAGAGAGACAGAGAGACAGAGAAAAGAGAGAGCAGGAAATCACCCTCCATGGGGGATGGCTACGCCACAATCCCTTCTCCTCCATTCTCCTCTTGGGATTTTGAGCATGCACGCACATGCACCCAGCATGAGTTTTTTTAAGATGCTGGGTCTGGGACTTGAATTGCAGTTGACTCCATGAGAGTCCAGCAATGTAACCATTATGCCATCTGCAATGTTCTTTTTTTGTTTGGTTGGTTTGTTTGTTTGTTTTTTTTTTTGGAGAGGTTTTTGCTGTAGGTCACATGCGCTCGCCAGACAGACAGAGACAGAAATCGAGAAATCACCCCCCAGGGGGGATGGCCACGCCACAATCCCTTCTCCTCCATTCTCTCGGGATCTTGGGCATGCACGCACACGCGCCCAGTGTGAGTTTAAGCCACCGGATCTGGGACTCGAACCGCGGTCGACTACGTGGGAATCCAGCGACATAGCCATTATGCTAACTGCTGGTCCTGGAAGATTTTTGTTATAGGGCACGTATGTTTGCTGGAGAGACAGAGAGAGACAGAAAGGGAGAAATCACCCCTCCCCCCACGCCCACAGAGGGAAGATCATGCCGCAATCCCTTCTCCTCCTTTCAACTCTTGGGATCTTGGGCACGCACGCACATGTGCCCGGTGTGTTTTAAGCCACTGGATCTGGGACTCCAACTGAGGTGGACTATGTGGGAGTCCAGCGACATAGCCATTACGCCATCTGTGGGTCCCATGTTTTAGGCTTATCTCTGTGACAAATATGCAGTTTGTCACTGGGGCACAGCAGCAGCCATAGATGGTAAGCAAATGAGTGTGGGTCCAGTAATGCTGTGTTTCTCAAAGCAGGCAGCTGGCGGGTTTGGCCTGTGGCTGGAGTTTGCAGACCCCCTACCTTTGTTTATCCATTCATTCATTCCACAAATACTTAGCGAGCACGTGCAGTATGTCAGGGACTGTTCTAGCATTGGGAGCTGTAGCCAAAACAAGACTGGCAGTGCTTCCCCAATACAACTCATTTTTCTGCCCCAGTAACACTTGCTCATTGGTTCGGGTGGGCCTGGCCTTTGGCTCTCTTCTCGGCAGGGCTCATGTGCTTCCCTCCCTCCGAGCTCCCACGGCAGCCCCTGCACACACTCTGCTCACTTGTTCCAGCCTAGTCTTCTGCTTATCACCTAGTTCCCTGTGGTACTGAGACCCCCTCAGGGCAGGGGGTGGGGTGGGAGTGGGATGGGGATCCGCAGGATCTCCTCAGTGATTGGCACAGAACCAGCTGTGGTCAGTATTTGTTGACCTGACTTTAAGAAGCCTTTGTGTCCTGGACCCAGCAGCTTGAAACTCACTCCGGGTGTGTGTGCATGTGTGCTCAGAATCCCGAGAGGAGAAAGGAGAAGGGATGGCAGCATGCCTATCCTCCCTGGGGGGTGATTTCTCACTTTCTGTCTTTCTGTCTCTCTGGCAAGCACATGTGCCCTATAGCAAAAATCTCTCTTAAAAGAAAAAAAAAAAAAGCCTTTGTGGAGGATAAGAGATAAACATTTGACAGTTGTGGACAGAGCAGTCTGGGGAGGCAAGAGACTTTAGATTTTCTATTCAGATGAGAAGTTTTGTGTATCTGCTAGATTATGGTGTAATTCACTCATGCTAATGGGTCCCTTTCAAGTATACATGTTGATGAGCTTTTTTAAAAAAAAGAATTATTTTATTTAACTTTATTATTTATTTATTTTTAATTTGACCAGAGAGGGATGGAGTGAAAGAGAGAGAGGAGGGGGGGGAAGTGAGAAAGCAAGCCACCAAGTCCAGGACTTGAACCATGATTGGCCATGTGGGAGTCCAGTGCCCCTAACCACCATGCCATCTGCCGGCCCCCATGTTGATGAGCTTTGATAAATATTTACATCTTGTGAATGCCAATGTAGAACATTTTATTTTTTGATTATATACCAAAGTTCCTTGTACCCCTTTGTAGTCAGCAACCTCCACCCCTGCTCCTAAGCCCTGGTGGTAGACGATGTGTTTCTATCACTCCGGATCACTTTTCTCTGTTCTAAAACTTTATATAAATGGATACATACAGTATGTTGTTTTATGTGTGCCATCTTCGCTAAGCATAATGTGTTGCTGTGTATCAACAGTCCATTCCTTTTTGCAGGTGAGTAGTATTCTATGTACAGATGGATCACAATCTGCTTATGAGAAGATAATTTAAAGGAAAAATATATTTCTACTCCCTCTCCCAGAGCCTACCATGCGAGATCATAAGGGCATCTAGTGGCCTCAAATGTACAGAGTGGGTATTATCTCTGAATGAGGAGATCCAGGTAGCTGGGATTGGGGACCTGCCAATGCGTTTGTGACTCCATAGACTCAGGACCTTCTAGAACCACACCTGATGTGTTGCCAGGGTCAGACATGGAAAATATACCACATGTGGGTAACCCTTTCTTGAAATTTTAAAAATTTATTAATACAGCTAAAGTTTCAAAATATGGAGTGAGGGCGACCCTACGATACAGTGATTAATAGCTGTGCATTGGGGGACCAGCAGTTGGCGTAATGGCTATGTTACTGCACTCACATGTAGTCAACCATGGTTCGAGTCCCTGACCCGGTGGCTTAAACTCATGCCGGGCACCTGTGCATGCATGCATGCCAAAGATCCCGAGAGGAGAACGGAGGAGAAGGGATAGTCGTGTAGCCATTCCCCCTGGGGGATGATTTCTTGCTTTCTGTCTCTCTCTCTCTCCCTGTCTTTCTGGAGAGCACATGCACCCTATAACAAAAAACTCTCAAAAAAAAGAGCTGTGCATTGGGACCC